TCTTCAATAAAGTCTTCTACGTTACTTAGCCATCATCGTTCTTCCTGCCACAACCTACCTAAATTTAGTTGCGACAGTGGATGCTGAAGAAGCATTATTAAATGAGGATTTTAAAAGAGTATCAAGATACATTTTCTAAATGCCAAGCTCTTTGGAATAAACAAAATAAGTCATATGTCTGATATTTTCAAAAAAAAAAATTAGGGCGTTATTTATTGACACCAAACACTACAAGATGGAATAGTGTTTACAATGCTATGAAACTTTTAGCATTGTTTCTAGATGAGAAAAAAATGGAAATGAATTATATATTGGATCAAATAGGAATACAGTATTTTAATGTGGAGTAGCATACCTTTATTAAAGAATATACTGAAGTATTTTTAATTAACCTCTAAATGCTTTTTTTAAATCTAAAAATACTAATTTAAATATTTTTGATGATTTTTTTCATATAAAAAGTTTGTTTATTAAATTTAATATTGCGTTGCCCTCAAGTGCTAGTGCTGAACGATTATTTAGTATGGCAAAGCTTATACTTTCTAATCGTCGCTCTAGACTTGGGGATGACAGTACCGAAATGTTATTATTATTAAAGTGCAATAATAAATAAATTCTATATATATGTAACAAATTATAGTCATGTTTTTATATCAATATTTTATTTGTGGAAATAAAGTTACGTAAAAAAAATATTTTAAAAAAAAATCAAAGTAGCGTAAAAAGTAGCTTTAGCTACTTTTTTTTAAAAGTAGTGTAGCTAATAGCGCGCTACTCATTTGAAAACGATAGCGGTAGCGATAGCGCGCTACTTTTTTTATAAAATAGCGGTAGCGATAGCGCGCTACTTTTTTTATAAAATAGCGGTAGCGATAGCGCGCTACTTTTAAAAGTAGCGTTTAACAACACTGCTATTTAAAACAAAAAATAATGATTTAAATCAAAAAATCACAATTTTGCCAACCCGACCATATAGCAAGTTTTTGAGAGAAAAAAATCTTGATCATCTTATTTTATTTTTTGCTAAATTTTTGCAATTCTTATCTAAATTTTCTAAAATCATTCCATCAGAATCTGAAATTTTTGTGAATATTAAATTCATAAATCTTTTAATAAAAAAATATATATTTAATTTAAAAAATGAGCTATAAAAGTGTTTTTAATGTTTTACTAATTTATCAATTTTATTTTAAATTAAAAATAAAATTTTCTAAATCATCTTAAAGAGCTAATCATGATTCTGTATATATTTTGTTAAATTTGCATATTTAATAAAAAAATTGTTGTTTATAGTGATTCATAGTCAAACCCATACTAGAGCCAATCATTCAACTTTTTTTTTGGTATGGCCAATAAAAAATTCATTTTTTTGTTTGATGAAGTAAGTACAAGATTTCTTGAAGAGGTTTAAGTTAAAGCTTATGAATTCAATTTTTTAGGCTATTAATGTCCAAATTAATTTTAGTTAAAAACATAAATTAAAACATTTTTATATAGTTAAATAAATCACTAATTGGGTCATTCCATATCAAATCAATCACTTTTTGGCCGACCCCTTTCGATTTCGATAAAAAATCGTAGGCAGGTTATATATGTCCCCATTGGATTATAAACAAGATTTTAGAGCGTTAGCAACTATATTAGCGGAGATATTCGGGGTTAAAGGTCCAAAAAACGTCTTTTTTTGCTTTTTACTGATGTTAAATAATTAGTTTTTAATTTAAAACTAAATATGATCAAATATTGAAGGCGAAAACATCAAAATTAATTTTTGATAATATGGTATCTTATGGTCAGTTGAAAACTTGAAATTAATATTTCGAATGTATATGAGCTCTGATTTTTAATTTTTTTAAGAAATATTATCCGTTTACTATTTTTTTGATAATTTCTTCAACAATTAGCATGGCTGGATATTTATTTAAAAAAATATTGCAATTTTTATACTTTAAAAAATAGATGGCGCTATATATAATAGTTTTAATATGTTAAAATTCATTTTTTTTATTGATTAAAAATATTTTAATGTATATATATCATACTAAATCGATTACAATGTGCATTATATATATTTATTGTAATTCAGATAATAAATTTTTAAAATCTTCACAAATTTTGCCTAATTAAGATAGTTTATAAATTAATTAAATCTTACTTCATCTAAAGGAATACAAAGCCTGGCTAGCTTGTGAGATTTCTTCAGGAGATAATATATATGTTCGACTGATGGGAGTAGAAGGATTGACCAGCGAGAGAATATAAGATTTAGGCAACACTAAAATATCATCTTTTAGAGGAAATTTAAATGAGGCTGAAGGTTCACAAGGGTGTAAAAATTGGATTTTTACTTCTTCATTTGTATCATTTTTATCGATTATATATCCTAACCATCATTTATCATCATATATACATGTTATATATCCATTAATATTTTAAAATATAATTTCTCATTTAAAAACGAACTTGTTTTATATTATATTTTTTGGAATTAGAATATATTTTGGTTTTTAGTCTATTTTGATCAATGGGAATAACACCGTGAATTTTTTGGGTCCCATGTATGGGCAGTGCAGAATTAAATCTTTTACGAAGGGCAATATATTCTTGATTGGATACATATTCAAATTGAATTCCATTAATATTTTCTTTAGCATAATTATATAATACTAATGGGGTTAAGATTTGATTTATATTTGGCCTTTGAAGACTAGCTCTGGCAACTAATCTTTTGACAGTTCCTTCGATACCGTCACATGCATTTTTGCCGTGAGCAGTGGCAAAGAAATGGTCGGCAGGATTATTAAAATAGTATTTATGAAGGCATATGTTCAGAAAATTTTTGCGATTCTTGTATTGAGACGCAACTACATCTGAAAAATATATTATTTTTTCTGGTTTAGAATTAAATTTGGCTGTTAAGAAATTAATAAACTAGTATTATTGCTTAATGATTCGGATAAAATAACAAAATTTATATTTTTTAATTCTTCTCCAGATTTATAATATGCTACAAATGTATGTATAGTGGCCTGAACGTTGTTCCAATGAAATCCCGAACTTCATCTTGTAAAATGAAGGAAAAATTCTCAGAATAATCTAGAATTGTTAAAAATTCTCAGAATAATCTAGAATTGTTAAAAATTCCCCATCTTTTAAATTTTCTTTGGAATTCTTCAAAAATAAACTTTGTGTTTAACTATAAACGAGTGACGCAGTAAAATTTGAACCTTTTCTAATAGATATTCGATGAAATCATCATTGGACTTTATAATAGTTTCAAGATTTGCTCTATCCACCGTGATCCATTGTTTATACGTGACATATTCTATAAGATTTCTCTGAAACAATTGGTATAATTGGCTCTTAAGAGATTCTATACCAGGGCATTGATCACAATTTGTTAAATACCATTTTGGCTGAGATGGATTACAAATAATTTGCGCCAAAAGATAGTTATAAGAATTTATACAGTAATCTTCTCCTGCTGTAATTTCAGCTATTACATTTGTCATTAATTTGACATTCTGATGAATGGTGCAGGCACAAACAGTGTGTGTGCCACTAGCTCCAACTAAAATACAGTTTTTTGGTCTAAGTTTGGCAAATTTAGCCAATTGATATATTTGGGTATTCTTCCTTAAACATATTGAATATTTCTTTAAGATTATTTAATATAAGTCTTTGGACTGATTCTTTCTCGCCTTTAACAGATACACAATCTTTTATTCCAGGCATGAGTCGGTTTATTTCATCAGAACTATAATTTGTTATTTTTATTGCTTAAAAATTTTTTTTAAATCTTCGAAATTTTCTTTATCTCTGGTTATTTTAATAATTTAAGATAATGGCAATTTCATAACATTCTTGGTCTTGATGGGTATGACTTAGTCTGGGGGTGGGAGGGGGGGGCTGGTAATTAATGTGATTTTCAATTTTTCCCTTAATAATTTTCCTGCACTCCTTTAATCCTGCTTTTTTGTTCGTGTGTTAGTCGGATTTTTTAATTATTTTTAATTTACATTGAAATATTTAAAAAATTATTAAAATTTTTTATCCTGCGAATATCTCAGGGGTATAAGGTTTACAAAGTTATAAAATCAAATTTTATGATATATTATACATTAAAATATTTTTAATCAATAAAAAAAATGAATTTTAACATATTAAAACTATTTTATATAGCGCCATCTTATTTTTTAAAGTATAAATCGCAATATTTGTTTAAATATATATCTAGCCATGCTAATTGTTGAAGAAATTATTAAAAAAATAGTAAACGGATAATATTTCTTAAAAATTTAAAAATCGGAGATCATATACATTTCGAAATATTAATTTCAAATTTTCAACTGACCATAAGATGACCCATATTTTAAAATAAAAATTAATTTTGATGCTTTCACCATAATTATCAATTATTAACTTAGCTATTGATATTAGATTCAATATTTGATCATATTTAGTTTTAAATTAAAAACTAATTATTTAACATCAGTAAAAAGGAAAAAAAGACGTTCTTTGGACCTTTAACCCCGAATATCTCTGTTAATATAGTTGCTAACACTCTAAAATCTTGTTTATAATCTAATGGGAACATATATATAACCAGTCTACAACTTTTTATCAAAATTGAAAGGGGTCAGCCAAAAATCTTGATTTTTTTGCTCATTTGTCATGGAATGACCCAATTGTGTTATAAAGAACTTTTAATAATCAACTTTCCCTAAAAATAAGCAAACATTTTCCCTATATTTTTTAGTTATAAAGCTAAGTCTGGTCCAATTTCATTTTTTTATACTAAACTTAAGTGGTATGCAACTTAAATTAGAATTAGACCAGGCTTTGAGCCAACTTTCAGATTTCCACTTTGAGTAAGTTTGGCTATATAGAAGAATCAGACATATTGATATTAGAATAAATTTTTATTCATAAGAAATATTAATATATATTAATAAAATTTGATGTCGTTTATTTTAATTTTTAAAATTATGTCTCTTTACCTTTTTGTAAAATTTCATTCCCATTGCCTTAGCCAAATTGTGTGCAAATTCTGACTTCCCTGATCCTATATTGCCATCTACAACAATTAATTTTGAATTTTCATCCCATCGTTTCAATGTGCCATCAAATATTGACCAAAATGAATTATATGAATGTGTTTGGTATGGAAAAGGTTTTGGCCTCTCTAAAATATTGTTTATTTCATATTCTGGAAGGTTTGGATCTATACCTTTAGATGCCAATGAATATAGAGCGTTTGTTTGAATATTCAAATAGGTTCGGCAGCATTTTAATAAGTTAGGATAATAATTGACTTTTATGTTAGAATTAGATGAAGTAATGAAGAACCTTACAGTATCCTGTTTTCTGTGGAAATTATAAATAACTGATTGAAGACTAAATTTCTTTGTGAAAGTCAATAAATGTATGATTTTAACGTTCATTAAAAAATCAACTCACAAAAATAGGATGCCTCATTTTTGACTAACATGTGTAATTATGAATTGACAGATAAACTGAGAATGATAATTTAATTTATTTTTAATTTTATATAAATCAAATTTTTTCAAGATAAAAATTTTCTAAATTAAAAAAATAGAAATATGGACAAATAAATAGTTCTAAATTTGTAATAGGTATAAAACAGATAAATTATATAGGGAAATTAAAAGCATTTGAAAAGATGAGAAATTTCTCTTAAATAGTGTAATAGATTTAGAATTTTGTTTTTAATTAAAGTATGGGAGTATAATATGCTACAGGTTAATTTATTTGATACTAATAAAAAATATAACATACAAATAATTTTTTCCATCATTAGAGTTATAATGTCCATTGATCAGTTTAGTTATTTTTTCATATTTAATCGTAAAATTTTTATTTCTTTGGCCCATTTTGTGTAAACTAACTTAATACAAAATTCGAAAATATCCATCATTATTTCTGGAGTTATAATGTACATTCTTAGTTTATTAAATATTTTTTAGGACTTTTTGGTTTTAAAAAAATATTATTTTTTGGCTCATTTTGTGTAAACTAATATATACAATCAATGACATTAATACTATAGACTGCCGATCGTAATGCTAAAATCAAATTTGAAGTGGCAAAAATTGAATTGAGTAGCAGCCATTTTGTGTTTGGAGTTTATACGTAAGAAACATATGATAATTTAATAAATTTCATGTTTATTTTTATTATATATTATATTTATAATCATATTTTTTACTAGATGAATACAAAACATTTTTAGAGCACTTATGGTTATACTGTTTTGATTATTGCCTAATGTAATCAAAAATTAAAATTAGATTTTAGGCAAAAATTTAACAGAACTGTACTTTTCAAGGGCATAAATCAAGTATTATAAAAATATGTTATTTAACTTAAATATTTATAAGTCAAGGAAATATTATGGTAATTATTTGTAAGAAAAAACTACACTTTATACCATATACTTTTAGTTAGAAGTAAATATAACATATATATATTATTTGTATTTATTATTGTAAAAATTTATAAGATTATTTTATTTTTCACAATGTACATATTCATTATTGATTTTTTACTTTAGTGAATTAAATTTAAATAAATATATTTAGAAATTGATGATAGTTATAATTATTAAGGAATAACATAATTCAAAGCGAAAATAAAATATAAAAAGACTTATAAACTATAAATTATAATCTCTTTTTATTTGCTAAAAAAATAATTACAAAAGAAATTATGTCAATTTTTTTTTTTATATTATTCAAAATATTTATTAATAAAATCATATATATTCAATTTTGTTTTTGGAGTGATTTCTAAAATTCCAAATCACATATTAAATATTTTCATAGCAAATCTGACATAATAATTTTTACAAGAAAAAATAGGTTATTAATATAAGCTGCATCATTAGATTTAAATCTGAATATTTAATTTGAGATATCATACTTATGAAAGGAAATTTTGCTTCCTGAACAATATTTTTGGTTACAGTTATATGCACTACAATATATTATCATTTTCTTAAAATATAAAAAATATATTAAATTTTATAATAAATTTCAAATCATAATATATCTTCTCTCACTTTGATTTTTGTTATTGAATATATAAACATAAAACATTATATTAATTCTTATAAAAAAATATTCATTCTAACTTGATAAGATATATATTTGTAAAATCTTAAAGATATTCATGAGGTATTAAAGAAAACAAAAAATCCTTACTTCTCTAGAAATGACAAAATTTTAAACTATATTCTTATTACTATACAGATTTTATTTTATATTGATTAGTCTATATAAAATATTAAAGATATTCATTAAGTAATAAACTGCAAATGTTTATAAAATGTTTTTTATTCATCTAGTAAAAAAATAAGATTTTAAATATAATATATAATAAAAATAAACCTGAAATTTATGAAATTATCAGATGTTTCTTACATAAAAGATCCAAACACAAAATGGCCGCTACTCAAATCAATTTTTGCCCCTTCAAATACATTAATTGGCAGTCTATAGTATTAATGTCATTGTATACAATAATAAAAGAATTTGAAGTTTTATCAATAATTTTGAAGTTATAATGTTATTCTCAGTTTAGTCATTTTTTTTGGATTTTTGGGTCTTGAAAAATAATATCATTTTTTTAATGCATACTGTGTAAACTAACTTGTTTCCACATTATTTTTGCAGTTATATATCCATTTTTAGTTTAGTCATAAAGAAATTTTGGTTTTAATATAATAGCTTTTTTTTTGAATCATTTTGTGTAAACTAACATATGTAAAATAATATATTATTAATATTTTAATATTTAAGGCGTTATTTTGTATTTTAATTAAATATTTTATTATGTTTATTTTGAATTTAAAAATTTAATTGCTAAAAATAAAAAAATATATATAAAAAGGACATTGTTTATATAATAAACATATTGAAATTTCTTGAATAAATACTATTATTGTGTCATCATAAATTCTATACAGTTCTCATATTATTATTAACTCAAACCCTAACGTTAGTGCAAGTTTTCCTCCTTGCAGCAATATATAATCATAAAATAAAAGAATCGAAGTTCCCATCATTATTTTTGGAGTTATAACGTTCATTCTCAGTTTAGTCATTTCTTTTATATATTTTTGATTTTAAAAAATATTAGTGGCGTCATTAGGGGAGTGCGCGAAGGGGCTCGAGTTCCCTTAAAAATTTGAATAGCACCCTGAAGCAAATAAAAAAAAAATTAATGGCTCCTCGATATCCCCTTGAACTAAAAATAAATTTTTTGATTGCCTCCTGAACGATTTCTTTTATAATTCTATTACGTAATATTTAGATTTTATATTATTTAAAAATTAATAAGACTATCTAAATTTTTATTAAATAAATACTATTTTAATTATTAGATTAATACAAATTAATTTTAACTATATCAGCTTGCTATCAAATTCTGCGTTAAAAATAGCATATCAATATCACTCACTAAATATTGATTTAGCATTAACAGTTGAAGCTTTGACTTTTATTATTTATTATTATATAACCCTAATTAAATCAATATAATCATTTATTACCTGTAAATTAAATTGAATATTGTAAATAGCCAATTTCAAAATCACTAATCAACTATATTAATCATTTTTAAATTTAATTACCATGCCTCTTCCTAAAAATATTTTAACGGTCCAAATAAATATAAGAGATTTTTTTATAAAAAGTAATTAGACATATAGTTTATAATCCTTATATTATATATAATTGGTCATAAAATATTAGGTAAAATGTCACTTTTACAAACGTATTTGACAGTTATATAATTTAGTACAGTTAATATTTTAATAAATTTTACTAATAAATGCTTTTGTTAATAAATAATAGTAATAATTTGCATTCAATTCTTTAACGCCATCTATTTATTTAAAAATATTATCAAAAATTAAACATCTTATTATTCATCCCACAATGTATGTAATAAATTAGATATATTTTCTTTTCTATTTTTTGCGTGTATTTAGGAAAGCTATTTTTTCCTTATTTGAAAAACAGTTTTGATTTAAATTTTTAATACGAATATATTTTTGATATTATTACAAACTACTATTATTTTAAGATATAATATACCAGTGACGAAGGGTCAAGTTCACTACTAGGGAAGCAATCAAAAAAAAAATTTCAAAAAACATTAAGATTTATAAATAAGTGGTATTCGTCTTTGTTTTTGAGTGAAATGATCAATTACTGCATTATAAAAGTTATCGCCAGATTTTAAATTTTTTAATAAATTTTTTTCAATCGAAATCAAAGATAGATTCGATAATCTATTTTGTCTCATCCTGTTTCTGCAATAAGAATTGATTCTTTTTAAAAGATGAAAAACTCCGTTAGGCACTTGCTGTTGTTGAAGCCAAAGTTAAGATGAATTTGCATAATTTAAAAAACTCTATAAAACTTTTCATCAAATCGGTGCATATTAAAAATTCAAGTATTTCATTAACATTCTTTTTCTTTCTAAATTCATCGTCCCAAAACACTTTCTTTAATTCGCTTTCCAGCTTGTGTAAATCAAAAAATTGAGAATAAGTGTGGTTTAAATTATCTAATAAATATTTTGGGAAATTTTGATTAAATATTTGGAATTTAATAATATCTAATAATTCGACGAATTTGATATTTTTTAATGTATCGAACCGAAAATCAATTTCATTGATTATATTATCTGTTATTTTAATTATCAAATTTTTATAAAATTCTTTTGTACTGGGCAATTCGGATCTATTACGTTTTTTATCTAAATTATCTTCAATATTATCTTTTATATTTAAATTTCTCCAAACCAAAACACATCAAAGTTTTCTATGTTTGATTTAACTGAATTTCTGAAATCGTTAATACTTTTAAGGCAATAAGATATATCGTTAATTTTAGTTTGAAGTATATCAAATAATAAATCATATTTTACATAATTTCTTGAAAAAAATATAATAAAATTGAAAAATTTGCATCATTTAATATATTTAAATAGCCACAATATGTTATTAGAACATCATTATTCCAAACATCAGATTCTCCATAAATCATACTTTCAAAAAAATGACTAGACCCTTCAAATAATTGAAAACGGTTTGAACCAGCAGACCATTGTATTCCCATCTCGTTGGGGCTACTCGTGGTAATATTTTTTTGACATATTTATCAAATTCCGCTGTTCGCTTAGATAATGTACTAAAAAAACTGGCTAAATCAGATAAAGTTGCAAAAAAACCTTACATTCTTAAATTTTGCTGCAAGACTTTGATAATATAAGATTTAACTTATGGGCAAAGCAATGAATATAAAATGCTGAAGGATTGAAGTCTCTTATTTTCGCTTGTAGTCCATGTGAATCGCCTGACATAACAGCTGCGCCATCTTAACTTTGACCTATTAATTTTTTCATAATTTTTTTATCATTCAAGAATTTAATGACAAAT